CAAGGAGATAATTAATTGTATATTTTCACCATTTTGAGAAAAATATTGTTTACACCATTTCCTTTTCACAAATTTTTAAATCATAATTTCATCTTAATACCCATAGATTGGTAAGTTATGGTGTTTTCTAATCCAGAGGTAGCTAATACCTATCTATATTATAACTTTTGACACTTCCTGTAGATTGCACATTCTATTCAAATAATGAACAACTTTTTAGAGCGTTTCATGGTCATTACACATGTATATTTTCAACCAAGTTCCTCTTAACTTAACCTACCCTCGACATAAACATTGTTTGAATGACGTTAAATTTCCTAATTCTAAGCTGATATACAAATATTTCAATTTAAAAACAACAATAAAAAGCTAAGTTGTATATGCACTTGCCTTTGGTGCATGAATAGTAGGAGCTATAAAAAGTAGGGCTAAGTATATTTCTGTTTGTTTTAGTAGTAAGAGTGTTGATGTTTTTGTTTGTTCAGATAGTATATAATGAGATATTTTTATAATCAATGCTTAGTGAGCAATGCTTTTTTGAAACAAGATCACATGTTTAATTTAATTCAAATTGTAATATTAACCAGATGTTGTAAATTATTGTTTGTCTATGTTTGATTTTTTCATTTAGTAAAAGCTTTGATTTTTTTTATTTCTTTTATTATTTGAAAATGTTTTTTTATGTAATAAGGAAGTTAAAAGTTTTTGGTAGGTACATTTATTGAAATTTAATCTTATTTTACTCTTTTTTCATGTCAGATTTTATAAAGCACCATATACATCAACCCCGGACGAAGGACGGGTCCTCTGCTAGTAACCTAATATAAAAGGCTATATAATATAATATAGTAGGCTATAGCCTACTAAAAACAATCAAATCCAGACCAATAGTGGGAAAATTTTAAAGTATAAATCTCAAATGCTAATAAAAGAAATATACCATATACAAGCTGGCTTGAAGAAGTTGAAACGCAAACGCAAATGGAATCAAGAAAGTTGGACTTTTACTTTTTGTTATGAGCCATAAGAAGTTCTGAACTGGAATATCTTCAAGCTAGGTCCAATGAGTGAAGCGACCGTGAATGATACATCGTCCAAGTTTGGGAACTTATGCCGATTATAGTTTGTCTTATTTAAACGTTTCTCCAAAGATTTGGATTAGCACTTACAACAATTTTTATTACACAAACGCAGGATTGCTGTAGTCGAGTTGGAGAGTTAAAAATGTGTTATAATTAAAAAAAAACTGAAACACGAAAAAAAAATGGTTATACACTTTATAAACAGTTCTATTAAACGATGTCCTCAAAATATTAAGAGCCTTCTTTTCTACTGTGCTAACGACTAGGGTCTTTATCATATAATTGCTCATATATTAAGTCCATGCTAATTATATAAATAATTAGATCGTTAATTTAACTTTTTACAGAACAATATAATAGTTTTTCATATACTTTCAAAGTATAAAGTAGTGTAATCTTTAATTTATTCGATATTTAAAAAAAGGGTATGCTAATTTTCATGAGGTTAGGTTAGGTTAGGTTAGGATAGGGAGTTTAGGATTTAAGGTGAAAATAAAGAGGATTGCGTTTATTTTTCTAAAGTCCTTTCTGGAAATGTATTTTTTAAACACACAAACAAAATATATCTCTTACTCTGGAAGAAAAAAATAACCGTCACAATCGACCTTATAAGCAATGTCCATTATTGTCGGGAATATAGGACAAACACAACATTCAATTTTGTGACAGTATAAAGTGTAATGTACATGATAATAAATATTTTGTAAAGACCATTCTGTTCTCATGTTTAAATCATACTATCTTGTATGAGATCAGATCTCATGTAAAGGAAATGTTGCGTTACTAGCACGCAAAACCTGACCTTAATTAATTTAATTTACGCCTTGTTTAGATCCATGATACTGACCGTCTAACCAACATTTAGTGACTGAAAACATGTTTTACAATTTTATCCATCCACAATTTAATTTTTCAAAATTATCATTGGGAATTGGCCCATTTATTAATGTTTTATAAATTGTTTGTGTATTCTAAGAAGAATAAGCAAGATATCAAAAACAAACATTGGTAAAAGTAAGTTAGTTTAACTACAATCAAGATAAAATTGTTACGCACGTTGTAATACAATAGGTAATATAATTTACTATGTTCATTAAAGTTAGGATAACATATCTTAGATTTTTCAGGGAATAGCGAAGTTCTACTAATGTATGATTTTGGTCCTTTCTTTGGTAAAATATTGTTCAAATATCAACTCTTGATAGAGTTTCTCAAGAAAATATTTGGGATAAAACGTAATATTGATGTAAGTTTTAAGCACATAAACAATTTACTATAAAGTAACGATTAAATAACTTAATTATAAAGTGTTTTGACCACGCCTGACTACAAAAATTGTCCAAGCACAACTCGTATACGATTATGCATTCTATTGGACGGCATTTGATCTAGTTGGTCAAATGTTTGTTCCTGTCCGTCACTTTGAGTCGAAACCAACAGAACGGGACATTCGATTACAACGCCCAATCATAGAGTACCTCATCCATCGTCTACTGTATATACTCAGTATGACAGTATCTTGTTGATTCAACTACCAAGCAATCGTAGTAGAATATGCAATCTGAACACCTTGGCTGAAACAATGCGTCTAACACCATCGTTCGTTTGATTAAATGAAACACATGAAACAAACAAAAAAGGCACACCATTTAGTCCCCCCTTTTAAATTCGATGTGGTACATTATGGAGATAGTATAATTCCTAAATATTATATTTAACTGAACCAATTCCATTTGGTTCTGTCAGCTATGTTCGAACATTGTGGATCCATATGTTAATCATATGCTAAACATATGATAATTAATTGTACGGATGTATATACATACGGGATTTGCTAGAAATGAATATGTATTCATCGATATTATTTTAATATATACTGTATTTCCATCATGTATACATTATATTTTTTTAATTGTGACCATACTTAACTTTAACTCTCATAATAAAGAAAAAAAAATTTAATAGTTTAATTTTTTTCTATTAAGATTTTAGAATGGTAATATGATGCTAAAATATGAGTTTATTACATACAATTGGAAATAAATGCTTGCAAGTGTATACAGTTTTTCGAACACACGGATCAGTAAAAGACGAAATATTAAAATATATTATTTGTTATTATAACCACCTACCAGCCATTTCAAAACTTCATTCATACATTGTGATTAGTTTGTAGAATCAGTATTCAGATATTGCTAAACACTATTCTTGCTATTATTTCCGTTACAATCATTGAACATTTCTGGTGATTTTATATTGAACGGAGAACTGGCAGCTAGGACTGCAAGTAACCGAAATACCCGCGGATGTTTATCACTTGGAAATATTTATCACTGTGGTGCGAGGGCTGACACCCGCATTTTATTTACTAGGATTTCTTGTTTGAAATCTTATAGGCTACCTCGGGACCTCCTTTTGTTTTATAACACACTATTTCCAAACAAAACATATGAACTATTTTTATTATAATAATATTACATATACAGAGTATCCCGTAAGTAATTTGCCTAGCTTCCCTCAATGGTTGATTAAATAAAAAAAGGGAAAATCATGGATTATTTTTTAAAAACTTCCTTTGTTTGGTCAGATGGCCTTGGTATTTGAGATTTGGTATTTTTTACATAAATATTTTTACCTTTAGATTGTAAAAGCCGATTATATGGAACATAGCAATTAAAGGGTTATTAGTTATAAGATAGAATATGCCTATACTAGAAAATAATTACTTGGTCCAGTTTAACACTTTTTTTATTATGGCAATTTTAATCATAAACACATTTAAATTACTAAAAGATAGCTGATTTTGTCAAGAAATTTATCGAACACTTTTATTTACCTTTAAAATGTCATATTAGACTACAAAAGTTTAAAACAGATCGGATGGAGTTTATAACAGCTAAAATATCATTTTTTCAATCATATATTAAGGCATACATAGGGGCAATCTGACCAACTTAGCCTTATTTTAGGTCATTTTACAGCTAAAAATCGTTATATTCAGCTTTGTTATTTGATGTATTTTAAGTTTTATAAAACCATTTTCTGGAGTTAATCATAACAGCTAATTCATATAAAAGCTAATTCATATATATTTAATTTTTGGATATTAATTTTTTTGTTCAGCCAAAATATTTTGAGGAAAATGTGTTGATCTTCACCGTAAACTTGTACGGTCTATCCAGTTCAAGTTTATTACTATGATATTCTTATATGTAAGTAAGTTAACGAAATCATTTAAATATATCCAAAGAGGTTTAACTAATAAATACAAATTAGTATTACTACAACAAATTGTAACAATGATATTAAAACTCTTATCGTTAATCGTAGTATGCGAATTAATTTCAACATTATTTGTAGAAAAATACTTGATATACTTTGAACTCAAGCTATATGAATTTAAAATAGGCATTGTTCAAAAACGCAACTTTCACCAAACAAAGAAAATAAAACAATAAACGAACACAGGTAAAGCCAAAAATAACTTTCTATCTGCGTAAATTGCTTCCGTTTGTGCTCTGGGGAATTTCAGTTGGGGAAAGTTCCCTTGATATTGCTTTACTTAAATTAGAAGCTTCATGTTTGGAAATAAACATTTAAAACCACAATAATCAACCTTTATTATCACTATTATCTTCCATGCGGTATCAATACTGACAAAAAAAACTAAAAATGCTTAACATTTTCAAAACGCAGTTAAAATATAAAATATGTATTTGTAATAATATACAAGGAAGCTTGAAGATGTAGACATTTCACCAAGTATTAAGTGCATTTGACTTGTTTAACACTCTGTTGGTAGAACCAAATTAGAAAATATTATAAATAATATAATTAAATTAATTATTCTAGTATATTGCGCATTTTCAAACTCTGTACTAAATGTGGAAAAACTAATATTATTTTAATGTGTTTCAGAACTGCTCAACTATTGACCTAATAACTGAAAGGTAAGAAACCAGCCTTTAAATAATACCATAGACACATGAACCACTTCATTAGGTCATTGTGGGCAGAATTGTATAATATTTTATGTTCTGTAATAGTTATACGTGTATAAACTGCATAGCATAAATAGAGCCGTCGCTTTCTCTCACAAAGATAGTATAGTTAAAAACAAAGAAAAACACTTCGATGGAATCGAAATATTGTTATTTCTCATTATATTTACGTATAATTATGTTTACTACTAAGTAATTAATAGTGAGGTTAGATTTTTTAGAAAAACTCAAAGACAGAAGCTGTTTAAAAATATAGTCTTAAATTGTATTAAGTAAGTCGCTTACAATGACTAATCTTATAGGAAAAAAACTTTTGCTTATGTCAATATACCTTAATAGGTTTCGTTAATACTCTATGTTAATACTCATGTTGATGTAACTTTTCTGAAGCAATTATTATTTCAAAATGTTCATTGTCGTACCTTGATTTGGTAATCTTAAATAGATTAACTAAATCTAAAGATGTATCCCTCCAACGATGTTATGCATTTATTTGAAATGTCAATTCAAACAATCATATAATTTCCTATGTTCTTTGAAAGACCTGACTCACTTGTAAACTAACATCGATTGACTTTATATTGAATTATTATAGTTACCTTCTTCATCCTCTGACAACACCACCTGACCTTCCGGGAAATTCAAAGTAAACAAAAGGTTACTGCCCAGTATACTCTTACAGGGTTTAATCATCGAATAATAGATACCAAAGCTGTACATGGTGGTCAAAAAGGAACTGACACATTTTAACATACATTTATATTTACAAAATTCCATTTACATGGTAACATTTACATATATACGAATAGAAAAACTTTAAAAGTTGTGGTGATATTTAATCAATCTCAATATGGCCACCAATTAAGGCCGGCGTTAAATCAAAATTTAGCACATCGCACACCTTTGCTGCATTTTTCGGGGATGGAATTAGCATTGCAAGTGTAACGCCGACAGAGCCTTAAACGGTGGCAATATTGAGGTTTACTAAGTATCACCAAAAACCTTTTGAGATTTTTATCTGTACATATATAAAATTTTACCATGTAGTTGTAGTAATAAAAATTTATGTTAAAATATGTCAGTTCTTTTTGGACCACTCTGTATAAATAGGTCAATGGTTTAACTTTGATGCCAGTTTACAATGCAGTAACTTCTAGTTAAAATATATTTTGTTACATCTCAATTTATCGTTTTACTCAAACCATACTCAACCATGACATTTATGTGACATTTACAAGCAGATGAAGTCAAATTTACAATAATGTTACCAAGTTAAAGACTTTGGATATTTGCTTTATGAAAAGCCAAAAGTGTCGTACAGTCCTAAAAGGTTTTTAATCATGGAAACTAATGTAATGAACATTGCCTTTTTTAAACCATTTGATTAAAATCTCAAATATCATCTGTTGTGACAAAAAATATACGTAGGCCCTAGTGTGGTAATATTTATAATTTCTTCTATTAATGGTTCTCATTCTAAGTTCAATCGTGGTTCAGAAAACGTTAACATGTTAACTCACACTTTTGGAGGATAATTGTGTCGTCAGCCACCCGAGTAGGGTGGTAAAGCAAGACATGTCACAATGTTTATTTTACATTACCTTCACCGGCACCAAAGTGAAAACAAACAGTGCTTGAAATATGATCAAGACCCTTCTAGAAATGTTCTTGACGACCGTACCCTACAACGGTTATGGTGCGTTTGAAAGTGCCTTGGGACTAAAACTAGGTTAGTGAATATGTAAAGTACACATAAACATTTACAATCGTTAAGCCAACTTGCAATGCTTTTATGAAAGGCATAAACTTAACAGCAGTTTGATTGCGCTCTAAAAATGAAAAACTACTCAGTAAGTTTATAAGCTACTTCTCCGACCATGTTCGTGTTAAATGCGATTTAATTTATTTTAGTGTTGCTTTATGCAAATTGAAGTATGTTCTGGGCTGTTATTTCATATATTATACGCCTTAAGTCTCAACTGGTTATCCTGAATAAATTATTATTTGATTTTTTTCATTCCATGGCAACTAAAAAAGTACTGACAAACCTACTCTTCTAAATATAAATAGAATGTTTTTGAACATGAGTTCAGAAATCTCGTTCCTAATTCAGAAAACAAACTAAAAAATAATGATGCTTTTTAGATCCAGACGCTGAAAATGAGAACATTCTACGCACTTTATCCTAAAAGTAATAAAATATAAATAGTATATCTTTAAACTTCATCAAACCATCACCATTAAAACTTAATTAAACCTCTTCTTAAGTTTTAAAGGTCCCTAATGCATATTCTGCCATGCTACTAATGTCCTTCAAATAAATTCTTTTATGTTAATTTTGAGAAAGAAATGCAACAACTCCTACTTATATTTGTGACAGGATGTAGTATACGGCTCCCACCTCTTAGGTCTACCGTCTTAACCACAACCTAAGACTTTACCAAAAGACCAATTTAAACAATACATATAAACTGGAATGTAACAAACATGAATTCCTATTTCATAAACTGACAGTTGTTTAAGGTTGGTCCGATCTCAGACTTCCTTTTTTCTATTTTGTTTGATGAAGCGTTCAATACAGTTTGATTCTTTTCCCATTATTATTATGGTGCTAGGGCCTACTATTAGAGCTAGACTGAAGACACTGATAAACACGGGACCAGTAGAGCTAAGGCAAGTCCGTTGTAAATAAAGCAAACACGCCCTGCAGTTTATTGTTAGATTTCAGCACTCCCAATAATGTTTAGCTTGTGGCGAAAATAATACGACTTGTAAGGATTCCGGCTAGGCAGTTAGCAATCTCCGTACCTTACCGTGTACCTCCTCTCACCTCAAACTTGGTTGTGCTAAGTTAATCTAACCGTCTCCTCACCTCCATGACATGGTGAGTTTTCGAGGGTCCTAGCTTGCTCCTAGGCAGCTACAACTTTATTTCACCCTCCGCTCTTTTCGAGAGCAAATACATTGTTTAACCTAGATTTTTCTAGATACAAAGAGACTAAATAGGATACAAGAAGGATCCTTTATCGAAAATATTTAGCACGAATCGGAGATTAGGTAAAAAGTGATGGCAACTTCCTTGTTAATGCAAATTTCTCTTCTTCTTGTGAAATCGGATGTCACCAGTCACCTTGCCTCTAGTTCTACGAGCGGTAACGTTTATTATAGGCCCCTAACATAGGTTACTAAATAGTTTTCTGTGATTAGTGGCTATAAATAATTAAGTGATAGATTATGTTTATTTTGATTACTAATATGTCGTTTTACAGTTTTCTGTGATTAGTGGCTTTTTTGTGCAGCTAAACTGTTGATAGGTTGTCATTGAACCACCTTTGTGAAACAACTTTAACCACAATTTGTAATAACCTGCCGTTAGAATATAACGATAAAACTCCATTCTATCGTAGGTGATCTGTAACAAGATAATTTTAATCAAAGTCAACTTTATTGATGCAATGTAACAATTTGACAGAGGAACGGAAAATACTTACATGTTCTCTAATCGGATTATAATTTAAATATGCCTTATAAATGGTATGGCTTAAGCCTACGAGGATACAAATGTAACTGATTCAGCCTAAAATAATGAGCCCCAGCTATGCCAGCTCATGCCACGAGTTTACATTACAATGTTCATAACCTAAAGAAGTATAAAGCTAATTACTGTTTGTAAAAATTTGATTAGACGTTCCTTTACATTTGTATTCGAAACACTATTGCCAACAATTGAAAAATAATATTCATGATGGGTTTACAATATCTTCACACATCAATACATTTTCATTGACTTAATATGGTAAGATAGCCTTTGTATTTGGAACCTATTCTATATGCAATAGTTAATCTATAAGGTATAATTAGTTATTATGATATAAATAAAATGTTGATATTGATAAAAAGTTAAATATTAATTTACTTTATTACGGAAGTAAGATATTTTAAGTTTTAATATATAAACATAAGTATTACGAAAATAAACTGTAACGAAAGATAACATAATAAACCGATGGTAATAAAACCTTGCTTAGGAAAACGATTTCCTATTATTTTTTTTTATAATACACATAACATATTGGGTTAAAGATATATGTTCAGATAATACCCATTCCTCACTTAGAAATAAATGTTGGTAATCTTAATTATTTTTAATGTAAATATTCTATATCAGGAAAATGAAACAAGTATAAATTTATTCCTACTATATCTCGTTCCGCAATGTGTACACACTGAATTTTACGATGGTTTCCTTATTCATATCTTAGCTACACCAAAGCACTAACAGGGGTTGAAACTATTTTGCAGAAAAGAATTCCAACCGAACGTTTTATAAATAAAAATCAAATAAACACTCCTGTGATGTCTTTAAGACCAACACAACAATAGCCGGACCCAGACGACAGCGGCGCCGTGTAAAGTTTCTAAATAGTGGAGGATAACGTTACGAAAATCTGATGAAACGACATTTTCTAAAATACTTCTTTACGTTCTTAAAATTGCTTTTAAAACATCACATTTCATTCTGAAAGCATAACCGCGTGCTTTCAAACTGTCATTATTTTATGAAAACCCCGATCAGTACTTGGTTGTTTTCTTCAGTCAACATGGTTTAGTTTTTTTTTTCACCCTTGCATTTACAGTATATTCTTTTACAAACATGGAAGGTATTATTTTATACATCGTAGAATATTAAATAAAACTAATTTATTTTTACCGCATTGACAAAATATACATTATGAAAATAATAATCTTAATGTGTACAAACATTGATTAATTTATCTGATCTTTTGTTTTTAATCACTCAAAATCTGCTCACTACGTTTATGCCCATAAGTAGCATCATTCATTAGTAGTATATATACTAGTCAATGGTACTATAGTATTTCGGATACAAAACATTCAGTGTTCAATAACGTAAAAAGAAAAAATAATAAACCACAGATAATATCCTC